AAAGCTGCAGGATATGAGATGTGGCCCCAAGCATGCATTGGTGCAAGGGGTTGTTCTCCCCAGGTGCAGGATTTTGCACCTCTCCTTGTTGAAATTCATTTAGTCCTGTCTGGCCATTTCTGCAGCCTGTGTGGTCCCTGGGGAGGGCAGCACCACCCACTGCTGCACCAGCCACTCCTCCCACTTTGTCATCCTCAGCTCCTCCGTTTTGTCCTTCATAGGATGATTTCAATGAGGTTATAAAATATCACCATAAAACACACAGAGTTTGTTTTGAAAGCTTATCCCCACTTGTAAAGTCAGCCCTTGTTTGCTGACTACAGTCCACAGGACAGTCAACCCCCTGCCTTTCTTAGCACATACCTCAAAGCATGAGCAGCGAAAACACTGTGGCTGCTGGTCTAGGAGAAAAGTACTGAGTTAGCAGAGTTACACTGGCCCACAAAGGTGGGGAATTTCTCCTGTTGGAGTGTTACTTTCCTCCTGGACGAGTAGAGTAGTAGAGAAAAAGGGAACAAAATTTTGCCTGTATTCCTCATCCAAAACCGCTGTAGTAAGCCTCTATCAAGGCATTCAGGATGGGACGCCAGTATCACTGGTGGTATTTGTAACTGATGAAGTCTCTCCCTCTCTTTCTGTCTATCGTTTGGGCATTACTTATTAAGAAGTATTCCCAAAGGAATACTGCTGCCCACTAATACCTTGCTGGTCAGCACAACCATTACATTATTGTCACTGTAGCATTGAAATTGCATCCACGGAAACATTCCTTACAGGAGCATCAAGATTTACTTTGTCATGTTTGAAAAGTCTGACATTTCCACAGACCAGCACTTCCCGTTTGCAAATCTGAGGCTGCTTTCCAAAGGACTGTACACACCAGGGCTCCCTCAGGACAGCAGAAACCATAGTAAGCAGCCAAGCCTTGACTAAGGGGCTGACACTGCTTTATAGTAGGACACCCTCCAGCTGCTGGAAACAATGAAGGGAGGCTGAAAGATTACCAGAGACAGAGAGAACTTTTAACCTGCCCATTTCTGCTGAAGGACTAGAGTAGTAATCAACCTTTATGGATCCACTAATATGTAAGATAAGCAGATCTTTTCATCCAGCTTTTGTTACTTTTAAAATTAATAAATACTTCTATTAATTATTTCATGCTGAATCAACCTAGCAAAATTCTTTTCACCCCACTTTTATCACAGATTTTACATGTAGGGACTAGATGGCACCAAACACTTTTGAAAGCATCAACTTATGTTTTTATGGATCTATGTATATATGAGGGATGTTTTTACTGTGGTAGATGCAAATTATAAAAAAGGCCCTAGGGTTCCAGACAGAGATTATATATTTTATTAATAATTTGGTTCCTTTGTGAAGAACCAAAGCTATTTAATCCCTTCCTCAGATCGGATAAGGATGCACTGAGGGTCATGCTAAATCCAGGATAGGAGCAAGGTGCCCTCACCCTCAGTGCTGTGACTGCTGAGTTCACCCAGCAGAACAAATTTGATGTGACTCAGATGTGGGCACATGACTGTAGCTCTCTTGTGTTAGTCAGACACTAGAGAGCTGTGTTCTCGTGTGCTGCCTCTGTGTCAGGGGATGAGGGGGGCAGAAGATGCTCAGAGCTGACTCAACAAAGATTTCTGAGCAAGGATCCAGCAGCCACTCAGCCCACTGCAGTCTGTAGCTCTGGCATTTTGGAGTGGACTTCAGGAAACCTCAGCCCAGCTGCAAGCTATTGGCACATCAATACCTGATGATGATTTAATTCACTACTGAGTTTGGAAAGATTGGGTGTCAGCACCTGCAGAGCAGAAAGCAGTGCCAAAAGCAGGGAGGAGGGGTCACAAGCCTTATGGCAGAGTAGGAGGACCAAGCTTTTATGAGCTACCAGAAATAGAGGGATCTGCCAAAAGTGGTTACAAGTAAAATAAGCATTTATATTTGTAACTCATGATCATAGCATTGATATTATGATTCCCATCCTCCTTTCATGCCTCTCTGACATCTGATGCTGAAAATGTTGCTTGACTGCAAGTGGAGAGCTCAAAGACCCAGCCCCCAGTGACCAGCAATCCTTCTAATGCAGTGATCCAACACTACCATCCTGTCTCTTCCAGCTGTACTGCTCTCCCATAGATAGTGTCAGGATTAAGCCTTTTTCCTCTCGTTGCCACCACTGAGCCACAATAATGTCTGGCTGAAGCCCTGAACTTCCCAAGGTGGACACACAGTGTGTGGCCAATATGCCGAAGGATTTTAGTGTCCTGCCCACCTTTAGGCTGCCTCATTTTGCCACATTGAAACAGACTCTTTGTTCTTGTCAATGACACTGATTTCAAGAGAAAGATGTGAACTGATAATGATGGAGAAGATTGGGACTGGCCTTTCCTTCTTATTCCCTCTTCCCCACAGCACTGCTGAGGTGTTTATTACTTTGGTGTCCACCTGCTGACCTGTACAGCATAAATCTGAACTGAGGCGAGTTTTACAGTTCAATAAATATAGAATACTTTTAAAAGTCACACTTGAGCAGATAAAAAGTCTGGGAAACGTCATCCAAATGTTATCATAAGTGAAACAAAATGAAATCATAATTCAGCCAGATTCAGCATTACTCAAATGCAGTGGAAAGTAGTTCTTCCAATGCCTGAATCTGCTGCCTTATTAGTTTCTCTCCTGAAAACTATAAATCCTTGATCAGATATTCTCTCCTGAACTGCAAAATAGAATGAGTAAAGTTCAATTTGGCTAGGCAAGAGCAGCAGTTACTGAGATCGGAGAGATTTTGAGCAACAGAGTTCTACAAATCAGCTGTCCTGGCATGACAACTTGTCATACAAGGACTGATAACATCTTCCTTACAAGTGGTTATTTGGAAGATTATGTCTGTACTCAGTGGACCTGGATCCTTCAAAAGCATGAAATTACTTTGAAAATTGAGGGGACATATTTTTTGTGGGTGCTTAGGTAGTCACTTGTCTACCTCATTACACAGCTAAATACCTCTGAAAATGTAATCTTCAGTCACAGTCTCAAAGGGGACAGATTTTCAGAGGTGCACAGATGGCCAGGAGGTTTACAAAGTGCTTGGTTGTTTAGTTCACTATAAAATCAACGAGAGTTAAGGGTCTCCCATAAAACCACATTGCTCTGCCTAATTAAAAACATAGCCCTGTGTCTGGTTGAAATCATTGAGGTTGGAGCCTTGCAAGCTCTCAAAGCTGCATTTTCGCCTTGCATGAGGAAGTCCCCAGGCAGGAGTGCCTGATCAATGGGAACAAGGAGGGGAGAGGTGTCAAGCCTGGACAGAGGGCTGGCATCAGCAGGGACAGACAGTGTCAGAGAACTGACACTGAAACAGGCCAGCCCAGACCTTCACAAAGACACCTCAATCATATCTGCAGGCTTTAAAGCAAGCTGTGGGTTTGCTTAGGCCATTTGAGAAGGTGTTTTTCTTTAAATAGCAGCTTAGGATGAGAGCTGCCACTTCCAATTTAATCACCCTCCTTTAATACAGGCTGGTGCTTTGCAGCTGGATAATTAACCTTGGTATTCATTCGGACTTCAAAACACCCAATTCCCATTGCTGTCAATTAGCTGACAATGTCAAGTGTGTGTTGATAGAAGATTTTTGTGTGACCCTGGCAATATGGCATTTGGGAAGTTTCAGTCCTTCACAATTAAAAATGGGAAGTGACAGGCACAGAATCTCAGAATGGTTGAGGTTGGAAGGGATCACTTCTCTTTTAGTGAAGTGGATCCATTAGATCCACTTGGAGATCTGGTCCAATCTCCCTGCTCAAATAGAGTACTCTGAAGCACTTCACTTAGAATGGTGTCCAGGGTGATTTTTAATATCTCCTCAGCTTCTATGGGCACCCTGCTCCATTGCTCAGCCACCCTCACAGTACAGAATTCCTTCCTCATATTCAGGAGAACTTCCCATGTCCCAGTTTCCACCTGTTGCCTCTTGTCCTATTGCTCAGCCCCACTGAGACTGAGAATTTGTCACTGGATTGAGTTCACTAAACAAAACAGACATGTATTAGGGTTTACTCTACTTTCTGCTCTTATGAAAATGTACCTTTCTAAAACACCCCCAAGATATTTTTGAAACCTTCTTGTTGCAGCTCTGAGTGCACAGAGGATGCCTTGATCTAGGGCATTCAGAAGCTGCCATACTTTTTACTACCAAAGTAAGGCTGGTGGCAGGGTTATAAATGGCTGTACACAATGATTTTTGATACAAGAAGCAGTACAATAAGCACTGTGTATCAAAATGAAACAAAAGGTGGGAAGGGCCAGTGGCATTTCATTCTTTCCATTGATCTCTTTGCATTTATAATAAAGGGTTACATCCTACTAGTAACAAGATTAAATTAGTGGGCAGAAAGAAATTTGAATCAGACTATTATCCTGATATGCCACAGTGGACTGTGTTCTGCTAATGAGTGCTAACTCTGCAATCAGGTAAACATTCACCTTGAGAGACGAACAACCTTAATCAGGGCTTTTAAATCAGCCAGAACAGTCAACAGCTAAAATGAACTTGGCTCAAACACAACTGCTTTTCTGTTTAAATATTGTTCTTCCTTCCTTATGAGGATGGGAAATAATAGCATAAGTGAAACATTCCTGTAGCAAAGAGCAGCTCCAGTCCCTTCCATGTTGGAGACCCTGTCCTGTGACTAAGAAGGGATGCATTAATGATTGATGCTCAATAGAATGATTTTGCACAGGCTAACTGGAGCCTTCTGTGAAGGTTCCTAAAGGAGCTCAGTCCAGCCTCCATAGTTGTAAAGAACTTTACCTCATCTCCTAAGCAAAATAATGGAGAAAATAAATAAGAGGAGGGGACAGGAAGAAAGAAAAAAGAAGTGTTGGTCTGTTGTGCTTTCCTCTGGATTTGAGAACGACATCAACCAGTGGAGCTTTACATGAAATATTCTGACAGTAGAAAAACACTGACTACTCCATTTTCTATGCAGGGTCAACATTATGAAGAGGAAAAACGGGCTTTGAGCCATGAAATAATTGCACTCAATAATCACTTAATAGAAGCCAAGGTGACAATAGATAAGTTGTCAGAAGACAATGTAAGTATTTAATTATTCATTTTGAGATCATATTCATGAAAAAAATTGGGTCTTGCACTTCCCATGAAATTATAGAATCGTATTTTATGTTTGTATAAAATGTGACCTGTCACCTCAACAGTTGAAATTCATGTTTGTTTGTTTGTTTGTTCCCATAATTTTGTACATCCAGCTCTTATGCTTTGAGGTTGTGGTGAGACTTTTCATTGATTTTTTTTCTTTATGTCTAGCTTGAAACTGATGAAAAAATATTCTAAGAGATGGCAATATTCCCACATTGATTTTGCCATCAGCACAGCAAACTGGTGCAAGCACATGGTCAGAGCTGTTGCAGGGACACGTGTAGGGAGTGGGGACTCATCAGAAGGATTTCAGGCACAGAGTAGAGCCCTACATTTCCTGCCATTCTTTGATCTTTTGGTCTTTGCTCCCCAAAAGGCCCAGCACAAGCCAGCTGTGCTGGCAGCAGGCAGGACTGACCCAGTCTGGTCACTCAGAGCAGGGAGCAGGAGCCAGGCTCTCCCAGCAGCTGCTCATGTGTAAAGTGTGCCTGTCTCTGTGTGGGACAAAGCAGGGAACATCTCTGAAAATTGTCACACTCCATCTCATTAAACACTACTGAAAAATGGCATGAGTAGCACAGCTGGCAACAAGCTCATTAAATCCTTCCTGAGACAAACCTACAAAGACAGCAAAGAGAGGAATATTGCAGGCATTTAGTTCATTATTGTGCCATTCCTTCCACATTTAATAAAAAATTCATCTGCAGAAGACATGTTTCTGTTAGCACTTATTTTCCAGCATCTTACGTTCAATCTTCCCATATTTCACATGAACTCTTAATCATAGCTGGGAGCATTTACTCTCATTAAAATGCCTGTTGATGTGAACTCTGACTGTGCAATTAACAGCTTTCCAACTGAAGTAAAAAGTTCCCAATCTGACCCCTAACTTTCTCAGAAGTTGAGTTGAAAGAGTTACTTTATAACTCTAACAGCTATAAGTAATGGAGTGTGGTAAAAGTAATGGGCTACATCCAGGTTTTGGAAGCACAGGGACAGCTGCAAATTAATTCACTTGAAATCAGTGGAGTTATTTTTGATTTAAAATAGTGTGACAGTGTTCACAGGGGTTTTCGGATGAGGGAAGAGACGAGAATGTTGACTCCATGTTTCAGAAGGCTAGATTTATTATTTTATGATCTATATTACATTAAAACTATGCTAAAATAATAGAAGAAAAGGTTTCATCAGAAGGCTAGCTAAGCTAAGAATAGAATCAGAAAGAATGATAGCAAAGGTTTGTGGCTCATACAGAGAGCCCGAGCCAGCTGACTGTGATTGGCCATTAATTGGCCATTAATTGGCCATTAAACAAACATCCACATGAGACCAATCACAGATCCACCTGTTGCATTCCACAGCAGCAGATAACCATTGTTTACATTTTGTTCCTGGGGCCTCTCAGCTTCTCAGGAGGAGAAATCCTAAGGAAAGGATTTTTCATGAAAAGATGTCTGTGACAAAAAGAGGTGGAAGAAAGTTGCAGAAATCTCCCTTAAAGTATACATGCATTTATACTACTTCATGGAGTCAGGCTTGAACCCCAATTTGAGGTGTTTTCAGTACTCATAGTTTTACTCTGAGCACTAGAATATGGTCCAGAGGCCTCAAATAACAGAACCACTTCTTCAGACTTGGGGTTGGCCCATGGACAAAGTTCTGCCCTTGCAGGTCTTGAGAAAATAGCATGAAATTAAGTCAGGGGAGATTTAGGTTGGATGTCAGGAAAATGCTCTTCCCCCAGAGGGTGGCTGGGCTCTGGAGCAGCTCCCAGGGCTGTGCTCACAGCCCCAAGCCTGACAGAGCTCAAGAAATGTTTTTACAAAGCTCTCAGGCACAGGGGTGACTCTTGGGGATGTGCAGGGCCAGGAGCTGGACTTAGTGATCCTTGTGGGTCCCTTCCACCTCAGGATAATCTATGATTATGTTTAATATCACTGATAAGAGTCAACGTTATATTCCAAATTTTAAAATAAAGGACTACAAAACAAACCACTAATATTATACCTAATAAGTACAGAAGTGATAAACTGAAGAATCCTGCATGGGGAGAATGTTTTTGTCTCAGCAATATTTCTTTCTTCAATTATATTTTCCCTCTCTCTTCTGACAGAAATATAAAATTATGCTTCTGATACAAAAGCATATTTTAAACTGTGGGAAACACTTCTGGTATTATTTGCCAGTCATTGTTCCAGTTGCCACAGACATGGCTGGTTTCCATTCAGGCAAACACTGAAGGAGAGAAGGTCACCCCAGTCACATGGCTTGGCCCAGCAGGTGGAGAACAAAGTACACGTGGCACATGTAGCTCACATGTAATTTTTTCTGTAGTAATTTTTAAAGCTGCTAAAAATAAAGTGTCAGCAATGCTTTTCGTGCTCTCCATGACAACCACAGCGCAGAAAGAGAGGCACAGAGCTTTTGAAGAAAGGATTAGGTTCTGGAGAGATACCATTTTTGTGTGCCTGGGAATGCCATATGGGACTTGGGGTACCTGTCTGTGCTGTACATTGTGCAGCAATATATATTGGGTTTAATGTATATGCAACATATCCTAATCACATGCACATGGAACAGATTTTACTTCTAAATTGAATTCTTGGGATCTTTTTCAGAAATGAAAATAGTGTGTCCTAATACAAAATTTAAGATCCACATAAATGAATACACTACATTTGAAGCAGAAGGGGCAGTTATAAAATCTCACAAACACAAAGAAAAATAATCACAAAACAAAAGTGTCAAAAGGTGCTTGAATGTGAAAAAATATGAACTAATGTTCACAGGACAACTATCCCCATCACTGAAAGACTCACAAGAACGTCTTGTTGCTTCTCTTATTACAGAATAACTTAAAATTGTCCTTTAAAACAGAGGAACTTTCTTTTTCACAGAAAATTTCTTTTCGAGTTTTTAGAAGAACTAATGTAGCCATAAAAACTGGTGTGTAATAAAATTATGACACTAACATCAGATTAATCCAGAGAAAATTAATCAGAGAAAATCCAGATTATATCAGTATTCCACACCTTTTGTCTACAAATACTAATTTTTACAGATTGACACTTTCATGCTTTGTATATCTCATCTCTGCCCACCTATAAAGTCAGCTTCTGAAGCCAACCTTGGTTTTAATGCAACTAGATAAAGAAAGGGAAAAACAAAATACATCTTCTACCTTCAGGGAGCCAGAGATACTGGTTGAAGGGTACAGTTGCACAGTCATGTGTGCTAAATCAAATTTAAGTGAAGGGCAAATCTGTGTGCTGAATTTTCCCATTAAATAGGCTGTGGGAGCCATTCAATACCAAGATAGTGTAAGAAGCTTGCTTAAATTCTCTCCTTCCTTGTGTGGAATTCTCATGGGGATTTCTTGCCCAGTGAAAATATTCTATTCTGCAGCATCAAATATTTGCAGTGAGATTTAATATATTTCTATAGCTGCATTCTACAAGATATTCAAGGAGCCAGGAATCATCCAGAAATATCAAAAGGAGAAAGAGTCTCCCTTTTAAAAAAATCAACACAATGTATATTTCTGTAATTAATTTCTCCCACAGTCTCATAAGATTATTTTAGCACTTTCTAAAGTAATATTTTAGTGCTCAACTGGATTATACCCAGTAAAAATTTTCTTTTTTGCTTAATAGATCATGGGTTTTTAGCCTTCACAGTACCATGCATGTTAACAGTATAGAATTCAGTTCTTAATGGGAAATATCCATCTTCTGAAATGCAGATTACTGTTCTGTTGTAACAGGTCTCAAAAGTTTATTCTTAGTAATTTTAGCAGCCCTCACAGAGCAAAGGAGGAAATATCTCTAGGTTGTGCTGGAAACAGCAAAGCATCTTATTGTGTTTAGAAATCAAGGTATGCACCAAATCTCCCCAAAGTGAATTTTGAAAAGATCGATCAGACATGGGAGAAAGGCTGAAAGCCACAAGCACTTTGCAAGCTTTAAAGAAGAGGTTATTTTCTGTTTTTTCCAGGAGCTCTACAGGAAGGACTGCAATTTAGCTGCTCAGCTTCTCCAGTGCAGCAAGAACTATGACAGGGCACATAAACTTTCAGAGGTAATGTGACCAAACTTGTTCTGTGACATAAATATTGTATGGAAAACAGGTTATTTTGCATGCATCAATTCCAGATTTTGTTTGCCCTTAAGGCTTTTATTCCTCCACACACCCTCCTCTAACCACAGGAGGACTTGTGCAGGTGTTTGTGCAGTCGAGGGAGGTGCTGACAAAATCACAGCACCAATGAGATTTTGTTCCACCCATGATGGAACTTGAAGGAAATCTCTTTCCCCAAACCTCTCCTACCCAGATGGGCCTGCACTGATTGCCTGTAAAGCAAAGGTTTTGTAAAACACTGGAGTGCTGTGAACTCCAGAATGCAAAGCACCGTGCAGGAGCAGTGTGGTGGGAGCAGGGAAATGACAGGCCACAGGCGTCAGAGATTCTGATATAATCAATTTTCCTCCTAAAGCTATTTTCCAGTCCAGCTAGTTTCCAAACCCCAATTTTAAAATGGACTGCCAGAACAAATATCTTTTTCTAAAGAAGCCAGAGCACCGAGTGATTGATTTCCAAGGAGTAAACTTTAATTAATAATCGTTGCTTCCAAGGAAACGAGGCTTGAGGAATAGGTTCCATAAAGGGGAGGCAAATATTATCTTAGTAAAGAAGACAGTTCTTCAGGGATCCAAGCCCTGCACAAAGCAATAGCACCTTCCTCACACATATTGCTTCAGTGAAGGTTACAGGGAATAGCCTTTCCTTCTTCAGTCCCATCAGGTCAGCATCCCCCCAAATGGCCTCTCTTGTGCAATTCTGCAATGGAATACTGCAAAATTAAATTTGGAATGTACAAACCATCTCCAAGTCAGTAGATGGCTTCAGAGCACTGAACAACCCTGGCAAATAAAGATGGAGCAAGATTCTTTTGTCTTCCAGACAAAGAGACAGAACTTCCAAAGTAAACATTATCTTGGTCCTGTTATTTTTTCCTGTAAACTGACTTCCCTTAGCAAATTGTATCAAGGAATTATTATTACATTACTCACACTTGAAAGCACCCTACCTGTTCTAATTAGGACCTTAAAAGCATTTAATTGTTTATTTGCAGAGAACTATCACAAATGTGAGATCTCCCCTCAGTTTCCCAGACTGTCATATACTCAGTTAAATAGGCAGTCTCCACTCATTAGTCCAAGCATTTATTAATTAAGCATGTGTGAATGTGCTGTCACAGCCAATAAATTCTTTAAAAATTCAAATATTGCCTTATAAACTATTGTATATTTTCCAGAAACCTAAACTGTAGTAAAATATGGTAATGTGATAGCAGTATCATGGTAGCAATTCCAGTTTCCAGTGCAGTGCCCACAAAATAACATTCTTTTAAACACATTTCATAATCTTAATGACATGTATAAAATAGATCAAATAGCGGTGCTACAGGATACTAAAATAAGAGCTGCCCCATACAGCATCTTCACATTAAATTAACTGTATTTCTTTTTCCTCATTTCTATGGCTTTTTACACCAGGCCTATTTTACAACCTGTTTATTCAATCTTTGTTGCATCTGTACTTACTATGACTAATGTTGCTGCCTGCCAGCAGACTGGCAATATCATTTATTTCCAATGGAGGACATATGAATTAATTAGCAACATAATGATTAATCTAAAATATCCTGGAAGGTCTGTTGGTTGAAAAAACACAAAACACTCGTCCTACTACAAATAACAGGAATGTCATTTCACTACATGCCATATTTTGAACATTGTGAGGTTTGGGGATTAAAATAGCTTTAAAAACTTCCCAATGAAATTAAAAGAGGATCTCCATATCCTACAAAATGTGAGACCATGACAAGAAGCAGGTACCTTAAATTTCCTTTGTCAAAAATAGAGGGGAGGGGAACAACTGCAGGTATTTGTAGTGTTCTCCTTTAGAGGAATAAATTTAAGGAGGAGGTGAGATTGCTAAGGTCATAAGGTTAACCATTGATTAGTTTGTAAAGAGGAACTTGATTTCTAGTTATAAAAACAAAGTTCTGAGTAAATCACAGCACTGAAGGGATTAATTCCCAAGTGGCATAAATCAACAGGAATATCGAAGGAGCAAACAAAATCACAAACTCGAAACGTATTCCAAACATGAATCCAAAAATTCTGATTTCCAGCAAGAAATGGGGAGAGGCAATCTCTCTCATATTGCTTTCTGATCATTGTTAGAGATCTCAAGTGAGCATGGCAGATAAAATTTGACAGGAAAGTGTGCTTGGTGATACCTGAGTAGGCTCCACCAAGGAATGTCATCTCTCTCTCTCTTCTGGTCCACATGACAGAATGGCAGGTGAAACCGTCATCCACAGCCCTGGTCCTGACTTTCTAAAAAAAAAAAAAAAAACTATATGATTTCTGATACACAACTGACTTATTGATTAATTCTGTCACAGGAATCACAATGTGAATTCGGGTCTTAGTGCTTTTTTCTGTCAGTGTGTTGAGGCTTATGTGGATGGTTGGTCTGACAAGCAGTGTCCAGCTGAAGGGGCAAGGAAGGCAGCTTGATCTGCTTCTTCCCAGCTCAGGAAAAGTCCTGTCACAGCAGCCAGCACCTCTCCTATGTGTCAGTCAGCTCCTCTGCATCTTCAAACAGCATTGTTTATCAAAGGTGATGCTGGAGGGCAGGAGCCAATTTGGCATGGGGTTGTAGACAAGATGAGCTTGAGGAAAGACAAAAGGAGAACAGAATAGATATGATCTCTTCCTCCTTCCTCACTCCCACAGAGACCTCTGCACACCCACACTCCAACTGCAAATCACACCCAAGCACAGTCTGGAAAGTGTTGCTGTAGGCTGTAATTCCCTTCCTGCCTTTTTAAGATTGTTGTTTACTACATACTTTATTTACATCAGTAAAATAGACCTGGAAGGGCCGGGTTAATGGCTGGACTTTAGGAGGGTAGAGGCCTCTACTGACCTGAGCAATTCTATGATCATTCCTATCCAACCTGAATCAATTTGGAAGGAAACATTTCAGTTTCACAGTGTTATCCGTAAGCAAAAGCAGATGAAGATGTACAAATGTTAAGTAAACAAACAAAATTCATTTGATTACATTTGTTTCAAGAAATGCACAAAGATTGTGGCCATCATAAAGAACCAGGCATGGTGAGCTGTGTGATGTCATAAACAGCACTCATCTGACACCTCTATTGACATGTGCCCTTTTCTCCTCTCTCCTTGCCATCTTTTTATGTTGCAGTTGCCGACTGACTTTCAGGAAAGAGTCAGCATCCACCTGGAGAAACACGGCTGCAGCCTTTCTGTCCCCTTGTGCCACACTTCTTACGCCGACACCATTCCCACCTGCGTCATTGCCAAAGTGCTGGAGAAGCCAGACCCACACAGCTTGTCCTCACACCTGTCAAGCCCATCCACAAGGGATCTCAATTTTCAGGACTCTGCTGGAAAAGTGGGACAAAGAGCCCAATACAAGTCTGACATCTACTGCAGTGACACGGCCCTTTACTGCCCCGAGGAGAGGAGGAGGGAGAGGCGGCCGAGCGTGGACACGCAGGTGAAGGACGTGGGGTTCCTGCGCTCCCAAAACTCCACGGACAGCACCGTGGAAGAGGACGGTTTCCACTCCAGCTTCTCGCACGAAGCCTTCCCTGAGTACATCACCTCTCTGCCGACCTCCAGCTCCTACTCCAGCTTCAGCGTCACGTCTGAGGAGAAGGAGAACGCCCAAGCCAACACGCTGACGGCCTCGCAGCAGGCCATCTACATGAGCAACCGCGAGGAGCTCTTTGAGAGGAAGTCGCCCGCGGGCTACGAGCACCAGGGGAGCCCCAGGTTCGCCAAGGCCAAACCCGCGCAGCACATGGAGCTGGCTGACGACAACGAGAACTCGCCCACTTTCACCAGGACTCTGCCCCCGTATGCAAACGAACCTTTTCATTTCTCAGCCATAACACCACAGCAGGCTCTGGCAAACCAGAAAATGAGGAACGAGTGCAGGAGCACACACCTTTCAGAAGAAGACTTGCCGGGGCGGTGGAGGCAGCTGAGCGTGGAGGACATTGGAGCGTACTCCTACAGGAACGCTGGCAGGCTGTCGCCCTGCAGTTTCTCAGAGCAGTACTACAGCAGCCCCATCAAGAAGGGGGACAGTCGAACGAGCCCCATCTATGCTAGCTACAAAGCAGACAGCTGCTCGGAGGGAGATGACATCTGCCAAAGCAGACTTGTGGACTCTTGCTTCCTGAGAACAGACAGTGGCCTGAACATTGACATCAGCACAAGCTGTAAGCAGGACAAATTACCCACTTACAAAACAAAAGAACCAAGAGACCAAAAAAACGAAAGGATCACTGTCCAGTTATGCAGTAGCAAAAACATCGAAAACAGCCCGGTGTTGAAAAGAGAATACGTGGACGTGAGCCCCAACAGCTCAGCAGAGTCCCTCAACCAGAGCTCAGTGGAGGCCCCAGAAGTGCACCAGTCTTCCATGGACCAGGGAAGCCATCCGGGGGCCCACAGCAAGCAGCCGCAGTTCCAGCGCACGGGGAGCACTGGGCTGAGTCGGAAGGACAGCCTTACAAAAGCACAGCTATATGGAACCCTTCTCAACTAGGCACCTCCCCACATGGCAATAAGGCAGCAGACAAAGGGAAGGAGAGAGCGTTTGATGCTCCTAGTGAACAATAGGGTTCTGAGAAACAGGATTATTATGAAATATATATTCATAACGGTACTATATGTTTAAAACAAAATCTCTTCAAAAACGTTATACAGCACTTTTCACTTGACATCCTTTCCACATGGGAGACTGTCCCCTCCCCTCTTTTATAAACCTGAAATATTTTTATAAACAAAAATGTATTTATTAAACTATCCTAAGCTATTTGAGCAGAATTCTTTTCCCTTCAAGCAGGTTTCTTATTTATTTTTGTGCATGAGGCCATCTGTGCCTAAATTCTAGGAGGAAAAGGGTAAAATCATGATGACAGTGACAAAAAAAAATAAACCCACCTGATAAAATACCATAAAATGTCATGTGAAATTAAAAAAAACCAAGAATGGTGAATTTCAAGAAGTATATTTTTTAACAAGAATGGAATTGTACCTTAAGTTATTTCATACAAATGTATTTATGAGTGGCTAATGTATGCACAAAGTGATACTAATATTTTGTTCTTTTAATCCACTGTGTTTCTGCTTTCCTATTTTTCCTTGTATACTACCTCAAAAGTAATTGAGGGTTTCTTTGTCACATTTTCTGTAGGCTTGCATTTATATTGTCTAAAATGCATGCAGTGTCATAATTAATACTGTATTTTGCATAACTTAATAAAAGACACCAGTGGATATATTTTGGGGTTGTTTATCCCTTCATTCAGTAGAACATGGAATTGCTCTGAGGGGCATCAGTCCAGCAAAAGTTAATGGCTAAAGCTCCTGAGCTGGATTGCTTTCTAAAGGAGTCCCTGTTTTTCTGTAAACTCCAGAGTTTAACTGGTTCACAGCCCATGGCCTCTGGGTGTGGCAGGATGAGTTCTCATCAGCCTGTTGAAAGTAAGCAAGGAAAACAAAAATGTTTATACACAGTGTTGAGTTCACTAGACAGGTTCTGCATACTGAATGAGAGCAGAAAATTACTCAAAAACCAGTGATGTAAGCTCCTCCTCTATTACTCACATACTTGACACAATCTTTTATGCCTTTAGGACTTTTATGCCTTTCTTCTTATGCAGCTTGGTGTTTCTAAGAGTGATTTTTCTGAAGCCTAAGGAAAGTCTGGAAAATCTGTAGCCTTTACTCCTGAGTCCAAGAAGCTGTATTTTTACCTGTACTTCTGTACTTCTGGCATTTCCTCCAGCAATTTTTCTGTTTCTCACCATTTCACCATTATGGAGTATACAACTGGGACAGGAGGAAAAGGAAGAGAGCAAAATGAGAGGAAGAGAAAAACAAAAAGGAGAGAAAGGGAAATCCTGAGGATTTTCTTCCCAGCTTCAGTATTCCTGCTTGGTGAGAGGTAGAATAGAGCAATAAATATTTAATAATTATTTTAAGACATGTTCACACGTCCTATACTTAAAATACTGACTCTTGACAGCTCATGTATGGGGGAAGACCTTGCTTAATGCAGTATGTGGTAGTAATCAGTGGGATCACTGTGGAAATATAAACTAGCTCCTTGTAAAGCTAAAATAACAATCTACTCAATAGGTATTAAGAAAATATACTTTTTCTGCTGATTCTCTGAAAGCAGTTACCTGGCAACTGACTACAAACCAGGACTACAGAACTGTTCATTTCCCACATAAGTATCTTCCATCATGGGGCCACAGATTCTGTGTACTTGGCATGAATAACTCCCATTGCTCTCTATTTCCACCATGTATAATATAAAATTTGTACATTGTTGATGTGTGCAAGTACTTGCTGTGCTCTTTGGAAGATCAGGCATCAAGTCCCTGCAGTTCCTCCAGGGTCTGTTGCAGCACCATAGAGAATAATGGTCACAAATAGTATCTCAAGGTAAGGCACGAGATAGCTCCAAAATGGTGCTCATTTCAGTACAAAACTGTCCCAGGCCTTGTGATTTTATGCTCCCAAACTTGCTCACAGTGAGTGTGAGAGGTAGGGCAGGCTGCAAATAGTTCCATGAAGTCGATAATAAACACATACGGCGAGGTTTCCAAAGGCCAAGAGCAACTTATGGCAGGATGTGACCTGCAGTAAATTGACTTGGAGATCCACAAGAGCTGTTATTTCCCATTTGAAACACCAAGACAGAAAGCAGATGTAAAAAAAACCTCACCGTTGACTCATTCAGGTATATAAATTTAGACCATCCCCAAGGCAAGACATTAATTTCTCTGGTCAATGAATATAAGGATTTGTATGGAAGAGGTGAAAATTAACTGTTATCTCACCTAAGAAAATATGTAAGCTATGAAACAGTAAATTGTGTCATTTATGAACTGGAACACAGTGTCAGACTAATCCTTTTATAATATTGTTCATTATTTGACCTAAAGTGCTACTTTGGCAATTATACAAAATTACATTTCTTCTAGATATTATATCTCTGATTATTTAATATCCTGTTCTATTATATTCCTTCATACTTCTGCAGTTTCAAAGTCTGCTTCTATGCTTGACTTAACTCTTTTTCTCAGTTTATGTGCACTAATACATAGATTAAACCCAGCCTTTTCAGCCAATTAGTACAGGGCTTTTTGTGAAATAGCCCATAACCTTGTAACATTTTTCTGTAATGAATTCTGTTACAGAAAAATATATTAATGAATTTCAACTGAATCAATCAAAATAGCTATTAAAATTCTTCAGTTTTAATATGTCCATTTAAACTTCTCCTTAATTAGAAAAACTGATGGCAAGTTTGCTAATCTCCTATGAACATGAGAAAAAGTTACAATAATGCACCAAAATTTTCTCAGATTTCCAGATACACTATGGTTTACTTTAATTTTTAAAAAATAACTTGGAAATATTATAACAAAGGATTTATTTATGTGATTTTGGGGTTAATTTTGTCACAATAAGGTTAGATTTATTGAGACAACCACAGGGAGAGATCTGAAGCATAAGGACAGAATTATGAGAGGTGTTTTCACAATAGATTCAAATTTTCTTTGTGGTAATGTCTTAATTTTTTTCTTACCTTCAGTTTTCACACCAGGAGAAAGTAATCCAGAAAAATCTTGATGAGTTTTGGAGTATGTCACTGGAGAGATTGAAAACAGCCAACAGAGTTCTTCTGTGCCATCAGACAGCTGGTTTGTGCAGTTTTACAGGCACTGAGATTTTAGGAGATTGATCCTTTTTAAAAAAGGAGCACTTGGGTTATGTAGGACATTTCTGACAGAGAATAACACCTGAAAGATCCTTCTCAAAAGATCTGACTTCCCTTTTATCATTCTAGTAGATGTAGTTTGATAAACTCTACTCTTATGTTCATTCAATTACAAGTGTCTCCAGAAAGTAAAACATGCCACAGACCCCTCCACTCCAGTGGCAGAGAATTTGACATGAAATATCTTTACCCAAGGACATGGGAATGGGAAAATATTCAATTTTCTCTTAAGCATTATAAGAATGCCAAGGTGGCTCCATGCTGCCACAAAACCTCACTTTCCCAAATTAAATTTCATATGCAGGATTTGCAGGTAACTATGGCAGGAATTCTTATTTGATTAATTATTTCATTTGCCATGAGTAAGAACAGAAAGGGTGAGTAAAAGAAGTGGCAAGTCCCCAACAGTGCAGTGAAGCAGAAGATGAAAAATGTCTTTTTAATGATGAAAACCAAAAGCAGAATGAATTTGACACACAACACTGATCAAGGGGAAAGCAAAGGGGGCTCAAAGACATCAGAGTCAGACATATTGAATCACATACCAAAACAGAAAAAAATACAAAAATGTTACTAGGGATGTGGGTTATAATTCACCAGGAACAACAGTGCAAAACTATTATGAAGTCATGGAAAGAAAATGAATTTTTGAGATGTTTTTTCACTCCCAATTAATCTTATAAAATTGTGCAAAACCTCAATCATTATGAAGAATGCAGGTCACTTTTGTTAAACTTTTTACAAGTCTAGAAATAGCTAAAATTTTTAAGTTTAAATCATGGCAAGCCATAACACAGGTCATTACCAACTCAACAGTTTCTAACTTCTACACCCAAACTAGAAAATTAATCAAACTAATTCTTTCCCCTTCCAGCACTTTTAATTAAAAAGAATCCATAATCTATCACAGAGTATGATTATGCAGCTACTTAGATTAATTTCCCCTTGTTTAATTTTAAAGTACTGATTGACATCCTTTGGACTTTCATATAAAATTCTTGCCCTCTGTTCATGTTTGCAACCCTGTAACCTTTACAGAATGTTTTTGTTTGTCTTCTTAAATATTGCTTAAATTGTGTAGGTGTGGCCATCTGAGAATTTTCTCTTGGAAGATGCTCCTTTCAGGACACTAACTGCTTCTTATTCATTTTACTATGAGCAGTGAGTTGTTCCAACCCCGGTACAAAAGTGCAGTTGAAGGAAAGGTGTGGCTACACAGATTAGAGCAGCTTTTATTGACCCTCCATGCTGATCTGCATGTATCAAACCATGGCATGTTGTCTACATGGTCTTATATCAACATTACCAGAAGATTTTCATTGTTTTCCCAATCTTTCCTCCAAGTCTTTGAAAACAAACTTCATTGTTAGAAACAGCTCTGGAGATTCAGTTATTCATTCAAACCACCACACAAGCTATCACTCATTCCATTGTCTCCCACATTGTTTTCTCTTTGGTATTTTCTTTTTACTGTATTTTAGTAATTGAGAGGGTTTGTTTGGCTGCAGTTAAAAAGAGTAATTTGAATGTTTATGCAATTAAAGGTTTTGCTCCTTCTGTACCCCACAAGGTCTTAGGCAGCAGCTTACTGCACAAGAAACCAAGGTTTTGGAACAACAACTTTGTCTGCAAGGGCCAAAACAGGATGCATAGATACAAGATGTAATTGTTGGAAAATATCCCTGATGAGAGTTAAGTGCCTCCTCATCAACACACCCATCATGATAGATATGCATTAATACTCTGTGATAATTCAGAAAAATTATAATTTTTAAAGTTAGCTCTAATGAATGAATATTTAAATATATTCACCCATTTCAATTTTTGCTTTGCAATTTATGAGTCAGAGCAGACGTGCACAAGCTGCAGAGCCACAGCACAATTTACTACACCAACAGCTCTATGATTTAGAAGAAGAGAAACAACAGCAAATCCCAGAATAATTAAATTTGTAACATCAATGTCAGCCAGTGTCCTTTCCCATTCCAGGTTTTCACATGTGACATTGAAAAGCAGATCATAAAGAATAAAACATCCTCAGCACATAAGGGTTATAAATTTCAGCAGGTTCCCACTCAAGAGGTTTTTTGTTAGAGTTTTTATTGTTACAGTAGAAATCCTCTTAATCTGGAGACCAGCTGTGTGGGGTGGCATGAGGAGGGAGACCCACACTGAATGTCCAGACAGCACAAAACCTCTCTCCTCAAGAAACCACTGTGCCACCAACCTGAGGACATGGGGACAACAGCAGCAGCAGCCCTTCTAACTGATAAATCATGAGTATTGACTCTGGTGGGATTATTTTTGACAAGGAGTTAAATCCAGATTTATGTTCACTTGACTTAAATTTGTCAATTTACTTCAATGGACCTTCAGCATTTCACAGTCTTTATCCTCCCAAAATGAGGGAAATGCTCTTATCCCCAAAGCCCTGGGAGTTACACTAAGATGACATGCCTAATCCCAGAGAGATAGTAAGGAGTTAGCTA